CAGCTTGACACATTCAGTGGGTATCATGAAGTTGACTTTCTTTTCTCCCCTCAGTTCTACTCAGATATAATTAACATATGTATTAGTTTCAGATGTATACCACAATGACTTGATACTTGTATATACTGTGAAATGATCACCACAAAAAGTCTAGTTAACATCCATCCCCTCACATAGTTACAATTTTTTTTCTTGTGATGAGAACTTAAGATCTACTCTCTCAGTAACTTTCAAATATGTAAGACAGTACGGTGACCTACAGTCGCCATGCTGTACATCACATCCCCATGACTTATTTATCTTATGACTAAAGTTTGTACCTTTTGACCACCTTCACCCATTTCCCCCACCCCCACCCTGAACTTTCAACAGGAAGAAAAAGAATAAAGGAAAGAACATGCAAAAACATTCTAGAACTGTTTCATTCTGGTCTGCATCTAAAGGCGAGTTCCAATGAGAGACTGTTTTTTCAGAACAAAACTTGCAGGATGTTTTGCAGGAATCCTTTAGGCATTAGGGCTGGCCTCTATACAGAGATCTCACCCCCGCAAGGAAGGAGGATGAACCCCAGAAACCCGGGGGGCTGGTCTCTTAACAAATAATTGCTTTGCACGGTGCCTCCCACAGCCAAGGAGGAAAGTGTTACCTGTCAGGTCTGATTCTTAGGAGGAGCAACCAGTGAAATTCAATTTAGATCCCTCTTTGCCAGCTTAAGATTCAAGATGAAATCCTTAAACCAACAGCTGGAAATGAGTTTCATTCATGAATACAGCTCTCATCTACAGTTAACACGAATGCCCAAGAGCCGCTGTGCATTGTCTAATGGACCAAGCACAGCAATCACAGGGCAGACGTGGGAGCAGTGTCGCTGCAATTAATCCTCCTCACCACTAACTGCAAAAACCGAAGCATTTAATCAATGAACATATTTATGTTTTGTAGTTCCTCCTTATCCAGTCTTCAAGTTTTACTTACTATTTTTTAACATAACTGTCTCAAAGCACTTCACAAAACACACGTCTTTCTAAAATCTATGGGGGGAGCAAATAACCAGACGGGCTAGCCCAAATGAAAACAGTCCAGGTGCGGCCACTGAACAGACCATCACATGGCCTCCAGCTGGAGTGAAACAGGATGGAGGAGACACACAAGTCGAGGCCTCGCTCCAATGCTACCAGCAGCGGGTCTTACAGCTCTCTGCGCACTTGTCCTTGTGGCAGACACTGGCTGCTCCTCCGTTTTATCTTCTCCCTGACTTGTGCCTGGGCACGAGGCCTTCCAGAATAAACTGACATTCCTGGCCCCCTGCAGCCATGCAGGCCCATCTCAGTATTCTAGCCCACGGGATGGGGTGACAATGAAAGAAAGGCTTCCAGGTCCTGCAGGCCTGGCAGGAGCACCTAGGACCCCCACTGTGGAGCAGCCAGCACCCTGGACCCTAATGAGCACCTCTACCCCGGCAGTAAGGGCACAGTTATCCTGTATCTGACCCCAAATGCAATTAAGTCTGAAGGACTTGTTACAGGAAAAAATCAAACACCAAAAATACAAATTTGCATCAATCCAAAACATTAAAATGCACAACAAAGTAAACTGAAAAAGGAGGAAACTAAAGTAATTTAAATGCAAAGCAGGATTTAAGAAACCACAGGCAACTCTAAACCACCACAAGCCCTGAAAAGTGTGCTACCACCAACTCCTTGCTAATTTTGCAGGTTATCAGTTAGTGGTCCTCGGGAAGTGGATCAGAATTGTATTTCAATCCAACCCAGTGGGAACCAGAGGACCTACAGTCTGGGATCACTGTGGAGCTCCTCAGCAAGTCGCTGGGACCGGGCTCCCAGTCCCCTCCCCACACCCAAGTCTCCATGCTGTGCCCACTGAGCCCTTCACTCAACTCTGAAGCCAGGCTCACATGCCCCTTCCACAAGAGCCGGTCCGTTTTCCTCTTTCTTCTTCTCAGCACGCCCGTGACACACCGTGGGGCTAACAGTCACCACACATGATGAGGACACAGAGGTCCTACAGCACTCAGTGACCCCACTGCCAGATGACGAAACTGCAGTGCAGGAGGACAGTGCCCACCTGTCACCGCGCCTAGCAGTCACCCAGTTCTGAGAGGCCCCTGGGTCAGGCAGCACAGAGACGGATCCACAGTGACACTGTGCCCCTCTCAATGCAGCAAGACGCTTCAGCATGCAGACACAAGCACACCCACATCCCTCTGGCTGCTCACGTCTCCGTCCCCACAACAGAAGGGCAGGCGCAGGGTCGCGTGTCTCAGTTCTCTAAGTGAGAAGACAAAGTGCAGGAGATTCAGGATTCTAAGTGAGAAGACAAAGTGCAGGAGATTCAGGATTCTGATTTCTGTCGTGAGGTGAATCACACTCCTCTGTTTTTGTCACTCGTCTTTAATTGTGTGGTCACTACAAATGATGTGCTAAAGCCTCTGCAGCTTCTGTTCCCGCAGCTTCTCAAAGAGGCCCCTGTGCACATGCAGGGCCCTCTCCCAACACAAGGGTGGGGCTCTGGGGGAGCGAGGTCACTGAGACCCCCTCCCCATCTCGAGGAAAAGGGAAATGCAACCATGAGCTTCTTCTCAAACCTCTCAGAGGGGCGGGAAGCCCCCAAGGCTTTCTCAGCACAGGGGCTTGGTGAGTGAGGAAGCCAATCTCCAGAACCTGACTTTCCCCTTCAGGGAACTTTCAGTGTGAAAACAAAACAAAGAATTGAGCCCATCTCTTTTTCTGAGAGATGGGCTTCCAGTGGACACAGAAAAGGAAAGTGCAGCGGGGGTTGAGAGCCTCTGCTGTTAGATCCCTCCACCTTCGGGGCACCCCCCCATCTGCCCAGACCTGCCCCTCCTCTGCGACCCTTCCCAGGGTGGCAGGGGGCAGCCAGCGCCAGCATGGAGCCCTCAGCAGGGGCCTGGGACACACTCTGCCTCGCCCTCCAAGAAACTGGTCTTGCCCTGGGCCACTGTCCTCTCGGGACCTTCTCAGGTCCAGCCTAGATAGCCACAGCAACCTCTCAAGAAGCCTCTTCCTACTTCTGGTCACACTTCAGACCCCAGCAGCCCTGGGGCCAGGGAGATCTCATTCACACACCTGCTCACGCCACCCTCTGCTTGCAGCCTCCCAGCAGTCCCTCCTGCCGCCTTCAGGTGACCAGAGATCCAATCACACTCAGTGTCTCCCACGTTCACACTTGAGCCCTCTCCAGCCACTCACTCCCAGAGGAGTGCAGCCCCTACACAGGACCCCCACGCTCCTATTCCCAGCTAGACCCTCCTCCCACCTCCAGACTCCTCTCTTAACACCCCCTCAACACAGTTCTCCCACCGAAATCTCACCTTCAAACATAAAGGGCCCGGCCTTCCCCACTTTAACACCAGCAACGTCCTCCCGCTTCCTCAGACCCAAACCCCAGAGACACCCACGACTCCTCTCTCTGTCCCTCTCATCCCCACACCTGCCTGCTTTACCAGCAAGTCCCATCATCTCTTCCTTTCACAAGTGCATCCCCACCATGACCCGCCTGTGCCCTGGGCCCCTTATCTCCCTTCTGGCATCCCAAAAACAGCATGTAGCTTCCACCCAACAACGTGTTCTCAAGGCCAGTGAGAGGGGCCTGTCAGGAAAAGTCAGATGACAGAACGATGACCATATGCCAAGTCAGGGTCCTTACAAAGGTCAGAGCCGACGCCCCCATGGCCTTTCACAGTGCTGGCAGACAACACAACCAACGCGCACACCGACAGCAAGACTGGTGTCCACAGGAGACCATGACGTTGCCCCAACTCTAACGTAACAGGGAAATGAAGGACAGCGACTTACAATAAAGCATGTGCTTCAATACTGGGCATGACCACCCTACAAGCCCTGCCTGGTCAGAGAACCAGCTAATGGACACTGCTGCCTACACATGCGGCAGCTCAGATGCTCAGGGACCCTTGTGTCCATGAAGCAGTTCTTTTTTTCCCTAGAAACAGAAAACAACTCTTGGTAAGGTTCTGCAAAGAATAAAATACAATCACCCTTGATTTATAAGGTAGCCGCATTCCTGGAAAATTCAAAACATCTAGTAAACCCAAGCAAAAAAAGAAGTGTTGTTTCTGTACATAAAACAGAATTAGATTTAAGATATAAACAGATTCTTACCTACCTACGTCAAAGTCACACAGAATGCATTCTTGCCGCTGCCACTAAATGCCAGTACTGCCTCCCACCTTTGACAGAGCTGAAAATGCTCCCAAAATACCGTCTCTGGGGGGCTTGCCTCTCCAAGGACCACTGGCACAACCAGCAGGCTTCCTTCACCTCCTCACCCACCCTGCTCCTGGCAGGCCTCCAAAACTACCAAGTGCACTCCTACCCCAGGGCCTCTGCACTTCCTGCTCCCCAGCCTGGGAGAAGCCCACATATCACACCTCTGCTCAAATGGCATGCCTCCCCCCATCCTCCTGACAGGTCTCACTCAGGGCACTCAGCGCCCACCCCTATTCCTGTGTGTGCTGTTGGCCTGCCTTCCCGTTCTGCTTCCTGCCACAGCCCTGCATCTCCACCCGGCCTCCCAGTCTGCCAGAGTGGCCTCCCCTGCCCAGAACTCGCCTTCCTCCCCACCTCCACCCATCTTCCTCTGCTGGGCACCCAAGGGATTCGCCATTCGGAGAGGAGAGAAGAACTGTAAAAGAACATTTATCAGGGCCCTTAGGAATTAAAAAGCAAAAAGGTTAATCACACGTGTCTACAAATACGCTTTTCCTAAAAGTCAGTCTATCGGGAAACACATATTAAGGTAACAATGAATTTCATGCCGGTTTAAAATGCTATGTGAGTGTGCCGCAGTGTGCATGTCATTCTTTGGACACTCCAGGGGGGAAACCAGGGCTGTAGACTCTGTTAACTACTCGGAGCAGACGTGTGCGCCTCAGCCACGTCCAACACCATGGGGGTGTGTGTGCACTCTGCCTCCTAAACCTGCCCTCAGGTACCTGCAACTGATGACTAGGATACATCTTCATGGATCTCCCCAGGAATTGGCAAGTTCTTATATTACTGTGACACAAGAGAAATGCTAAGAGCTGTAATTATCTTAAGCAAAATTTCACCACAAAAATCAACACAAGATGTATTTTAAATATAAATCATGGATTTGATCAGTTAATCAGGAACTGTACACTCATCTACAGACGAAAGAAAACTCCACAGAAAACACAGTTAATAGCAATTTTTTGTGTGTGTGTGAGGAAGATGAGCCCTGAGCTAAGATCTGTGCCCATCTTCCTCCACTTTATGTGGGACGCTGTCACAGCACGGCCTGACAAGCGGTGCGTTGGTGCGCGCCCGGGATCCGAACCCAGGCCGCCAGTAGCGGAGTGCGCGCACTTAACCGCTATGCCATGGGGCTGGCCCTTAACAGCAATTTTTAAAGACATCTTTTGTTATGAATCTTGTGACCAAAATGCTGGCACACCTAATTCCGCCTTCATTCCTACTCTTCATGAATGAGTCTCCACAGAATCTTGAAATCATTTTTTTGGCCATTTGCACCTAGGTAAAAATGACAGGATACTCAAAGAACTTCACGTTAAAAATTTTCAAGATCTTAGAGAACCAGAACCACTAAGTTTCCTATTTAGCTCCCATATACGGCACTGCAAAAATAACTTGATGTATAATACAAACTAAAAGACATCAGCTATTTTATATATAAACTGCCCTTTGGAAACAAATCCTTCTAGCTTGCTGCATCCCTCTGAGAAGCAAAACTTAGTAAATTCTGATTAAACATTAATTAATGCTTCCAAAATATACTACATGCTTCTAACTTCTGAAAATGTGCATGGATCATAACTGGGCTTCCCACTAATTTATGCTGCATGTTCAGTCACCGCCTCCATGGCATTAGAGATGTGTAAAAACGTTTGCCTCCTGAACAGAACCACTCCCAATCGCTGTGTGTAAAATCTGCCTGCCTAGTATGCTTTTCTGTCTCTTCCCTTTAGTCAGGACCATCGAGGAGCCCCACCTCTTCCCTTTCTGTTTGCCCAAGACAGGCTGCCAAGCTCCTGCTGCCACTGTGTGCAAAAACTAGGAAACCAGGGTCTGTTTGGAATAGACGTCAGGTCCCTGCAACTGACAGCCTCGCCCTTCTCTCCAACTCACGTAAGGAAGCTGGGGTGATAGGATTTGGGATGAGGGCCTAAGAGACTCCCCTAGGAAGGAGGAGGAGTTTTGATGTGTCTGTGTTCAATTCTGCCACATTTTTTTCAGCTAATCAGCCCACGTGATCTATCTGAGAATGCTGAACTGCCTTCCAGAATTGTGATACAGCTGTATAGCTGTAAGATGTGGTGCAACTACATTTTAAAGAGTTTATAACAATCACAAGAGGACAAGAACCTGAGATGAAGAAAATGAGCTGAGGTGTTGTGTGTGACCTGGAATCAACCCCCCACACTCTCACACTCACAGCCCCCCAAGCCATCCTTTACCTGCCAGTAGGAAGGGTTACACCCAACCCACTATTATGTCAAAATCATATCCAAAAACCACTTCACATTGTGCTGGGAAGATGTCTCCAGCACTGTCCACGCCAATGCAGTGCACAGAGCACAAAAGAGATAAGGTCGTATGGATCTCAGGATCCCAACCGAAGAGAATTTTTCAAGTCTCTCTCCTAATCACCTCACAAGTATGCATTTTGTTTCCTTTCACTCTCCTAATCCCATGAAGGGTGGAAGGTCCAACAGGAGACTACCTATGGGACAACGTGCACAGGGACAGCCATGAATGGTACGGCAAGCCCAGGCGAGTTGAGGTCTCGACACCTGCTCAGTAAACAATCACAGCCCTCAGGAAGGCTACAGAAATGCCAGGCGAGCCTGAGCTGTGACCATGGGCAGATTTAAACTCACACACCTAGGCAACGTTCGATTTCGAGAATCCGAAGAAAACTAATTCAACTCTCACAAACCAAGTTAATTTATTATTCGTGAACTTGCAGAGGGTTTTCCCCCCGGGGCAGGTTTCTTTCTCTCATCATCTGACTCTGGAGAGCCCCTCAGCGACTGGCGGTCCACACTGGACGCCATGCACATCAACAGAAAAGCCAAGCCTATCTTCCTGTGGTTCAAGCCCGACAGGTCTGGCCTTTGGCAGAGGCGGCTCAGCAGGTCTGAACGTCCTCTTTACATTGTGCAAGAGGCAAAGCAAAGAGCCAGACCACATGATTTAGAAACCAGAACTGCGAGCAACACAGAACCAGTTTTTGCTTTCTACTTTCTTTCAATGAGTGCACAGCATGTGAGTCAGCTATTGTCCAAACCAACTATTTCAAATCTTTTTGAAGTGCAATTCTGTGCCTCTTTAACTGAAGATGGCCCTTACAAGAAATCGCACGTTTCTACACCAGGTGATAAGGATTTATCTCCAACAGCACGTTCCTGAGGACAGCGACACCCGCGAGGAGGCGCACCTACCTCTGCCCATCGACAGGCGAAAACCCTCGTGGGAAGACGGCACACTTGAACCAGTGGCCAAATTTGTGATTAACACGTACACACTCGGTTCCCCCTAACTTTGGAGCGAGCTAGTAACACCACGCATTTCAAGTTCTTACCGTTTTGGCTACTCACGGCGGCTGCTGAAAACTAAGCGAGGACACCACACACGCGGTCCCGTGTCAGCCACCGGGAGCTACCACGGCGGAGGGCCACAGAGCACCCGGCCTCTCACCGCCCTCCAGACACACACACACAACACACAACACACAACACACACACACACACACACACTGTGCCGGAAGTGCAGGACCCACCACGCCAACAGCCGGCACGAAAAAGCGCTGACCACTAATTCTGAAACAAGAACTAGAGCTGACCTTTCCAACACCGCCGCGGCACTAACTCCACAGCTCTCAACGCTGCCTTCCCGGACCAGCCCAAGGCGTCCGAACCCCCTCCCTCTTCCGCCGACGACTTCGTGTGCAATCCTGCACCATTCCTTCGAAACAGCAACTCGGTATCTTCAGGGAATGGGAGAGGGCCGCCCGCTCGGAGGCGCGGTCCGAGGGAGCCAGGTGACATCTTAAGCACATTGTCGTCGGCAGGCTGCACTAACAAAGCCACAGGTTCGCCCTCCGGAACCACCGGGGTTGTGCAACGAGAAGGCGCCAGGGCGCTCGGCTAGGGAGGCGGCCCCGACCCGGGCAGGCCGCTGCACTGGCGGGTCCAAGGTTCGCCCGCCCGGAGGCGCTCCCGCCCGCGCCAGCGGACCAGGAAGCACCGTGGGCGCGGCGGCACCGACAAAGGGTCGCAGGGCTGC